GCTCGCTCTGTCGCCCAGGCTGGAGTGCGGTGGCGCGATCTCGGCTCACAGCAACCTCTGCCTCCCGGGTTCAAGCGATTCTCCTGCCTCAGCCTCCCGAGTAGCTGGGACTACAGGCGCGCACCACCATGCCTGGATAATTTTTGTATTTTTAATAGAGATGGGCTTTACCATGTTGGTCAGGCTGGTGATCTGCCCACCTCAGCCCTCAAAGTGCTGGGATTACAGGCGTGAGCCAACGCGCCTGGCCAGTGCCTGGCCATCTTTAGGGATGGGTCAGGAGGCAGAGGCGGGTTTGAGGCTGCCTCCTAAGTCGGGGTCCGAGCGGCTGGAGTCTGGGGTTACCAACGGTGAGGAGGGGGAGCCCGGGACTGGACCAAGCGGCCAAGCGCAGCTTCCACCCCAGGTTCCCGGCGGGTCGGGGTCACAATGGCCCAGTCCCCGCGACGCTTGGGGAGACCACGGCCCTGGTCCCCACAGCCGTGAGGCGCAGAGGCGCGTGCCGAGGGGACCGGCCGGGGGTCTCGGCTCCTCTCGGTCCTTTCAAGTGGCATGGAGCCTCTGGCAGGTCCCAGTGGCCGCGTGCTCGGAGCCCCCGGGACCAGGTTATGGGGGTTTGCCCAGCTCACCCAGGCCGGCGCGCTGAGGGGTCGGGACCCGGGGTCAGGTTGGCCTCACCAGTCGCGCTTTCCCGGACGAGGCCGGGTGAGGTGCAAAACTCAAGAGTGCAGAGGGGTCCCTGAAACCAGGACTCCACTTCGGGCTCGGTGTGAGTAGCGTAGCCCAGGCGTCCTGTCGAGACCCATCCCGACTCGGGTGAGACGGCCCCGCTTCCAGCCCAGGGCCGACATGCGTGAGGAGCCGCTCGCCTGAAGGCTTGGCGCTTGGGGGAGTGTCCCCCAAAGCCGGCATGGGGAGACTCCCAGACCTGGCGGGGCCAGGGCACGGGCGCCCCGCTCACCTGTGTCCGTGAGGAGGATGGTGCGCTGGGACGCTCTGACAGGCCTGGCGGGGGGCGATGCTGCTCTCCGGGGGCCCCCAGGCGGCGGGTAGGGGAGTGGCCTAGTGCAGCCGCCCTCCCTCGGCTCCTCAGGCCGGCCCCCCGCAACGGCCGCGACTCTGCCCCCTGGGGGAGCACGGGGTCGTACCCCAAAGGTGGCTTGTGTGCAGACATGTGGGTGCCACAGCGGCCTCTAGGGGTGCGCAGATGGCGGCCAGACCTCCCTGAGTCCCCTGCAGCGCCTCCTGTCGTGTGTGTGTGTGTGTGTGTGTGTGTGTGTGTGTGTTGGGAGGTGGGGGTGGGGGTGAGATTTTGACCAGGATGGCGAAGCTCTTGAGGCTGTGCCGCCTCAGCTGTCTTTTGGTGGCTTGGGAGAAAAGAGGACACTGACAGAGAGGAAGGGTCATTCCGTCAGGGAAGAGAGCCCCTGATCGGAGGCTGCTGTCAAGCTACACATTTCCGAGGCTCCCTTGCAGCTATGGCAACCACATGCACAGTCCTGACCAATGAGAGGGCAGCAGAGGTTGTGGGTGGGGCATCTAGAGGGCTCTTAATACAGGGCAGCCCCAGCCCTTTCCCATCCCTCCTCTTCTTGACTGGGTGGGGCTGTGGTGGTCAGCTTGGGATCATAAGGTGGTCATGAAGAAAAGTCCTGGAAACCTCAGCCCCCACTCTCTTGAGCTGCCAAAGCAATTCTCACCACATGGGAGAAATCCAACTCCTAGACTGTCCTCCAATTTCCCACCTCTGGTCAATGGCAGGCACCTCTTCTGCCAAGAAGCTACCATGACCACCACATTCAAGTTAAACCTGGACCTCCCCCCATCCCCAGTCAGGCAAATGATACAAATGGGAAAACAGGCCTGGTGAGGATACTTCCTATTAGTTTTCTTGCCTTCTCAGCCTAGGGTGTGGGTGTGGCTGGGACTGGCTGTAAGGCCCCTATTTCTAAGGCAAGCACCCATTTTCTCATGGATTCTACCATTTCATCACTGGTGGAGCCAGTCAAGATGGCTGCTCGATTTTCAGTTAGTTTTTGGGGGCAATGGCTGGGTAGGGGATTGATCTGATGGAGACCCACTCCCTCATATCTTCATTACTCATCGGCTCTGCTGGCCAGGGATGTAGGGTTCTCCACCTGCTCAAAGTCAAAAGGCTTTCTCCAGGTTTTGTAACAGCTTGTACTTTATTATATATGCAACCTTGCCATGCCTGCCAGTTAACTCCCCTCCCGCCAATGTTATCCTTGTGATATCAGCTCCCTCTTGGGGCCACTGAGCTGTCCCCCTTTCCTTCTGGGCTGGAGTAGTGGTGCCCCTCAAGCAGGCAATGGGCAGGGAGAGATCCACAATTTATCATCGCAGTTCTCTTAAACGTATTAACAGTTAAATAAGCACTCTTGGGGAGATGCAAAGGATATTCAAGATGGGATGCAGTGGGAGGCTACCCCTCATCCAAGGTACAGGCTGGAATGAGCTACAGCTGGTCTATCGTGGGCCTCAGAAGGTGAAGAGGGAGCGTATTCTGGGGCTTAGTATGGGTGGGGCATATCCTCCCCAAACTTGTTCTGGTGGGCGATGTTCTTCACATCTAGGAGAGCCTGAGGAGGAGACAAAAATAGGGCAGGTGAGAGAGAGTAAGGACCCCTCTACCTCAGCTGCAAGGCTGCCCCGACTCCAGCCCTCAACCACTCTGTCTTCTGGACTATCCCACAGCCCCCGCCTCACGCAAAATAATCACGAGGCAGCCATGCGGAGGGGCCTGTGGTCTCCCTTTACGAAATCACAGAAGGAGTGTGTGTGAGTGGGGTGAGTGTGCACGTGTTGAAGGGTCTACCCAGGGCTCACCTGGTGGTGGACATAGGCCTGACAGTA